TCCTACAAGATGTTATTCCTCCTTGCCATATACATGAAATCACAGCTTCCCTATCATCATCAACATTTAACAATTCCTCAGAATATTCCCTCCATCTTCTCAATACCTCTAACTCTCCATTTAGTAACTCTCCTCTCCTATTTTTAACTGACAAATCCATTTGTTATCTAGGCTTCCTTAACTTGTTAATCTCACTCCAAAATTTTTTCTTATTTTCAACAAAATTTGTTGATAACATCTCACCCACTCTCTCATTTGCTCTCTTTTTACGTTGCTTCACCACTCTCTTAACCTCTCTCTTTTTCTTCATATACTCTTCCCTCCTTGCATTACTTCTACTTTGTAAAAGCTTCTCATATGCTAACTTTTTCTCCCATACTACTCTCGTTACATCATCATTCCACCAACCGCTCCTCTTCCCCCCCGCACCCACTTTCCTGCAACCACAAACTTCTGCTGAACACCCTAGCATGACATTTTTAAACCTACCCCATACCTCTTCGACCCCATTGCCTATGCTCTCATTAGCCCAACTATCCTCCAATAGCTGTTTATATCTTACCCTAACTGCCTCCTCTTTTAGTTTATAAACCTTCACCTCTCTCTTCCCTGATGCTTCTATTCTCCTTGTATCCCATCTGCCTTTTACTCTCAGTGTAGCTACAACTAAAAAATGATTTGATATATCTGTGGCCCCTCTATAAATATGTACATCCTGAAGTCTACTCAACAGTCTTCTATCTACCAATACATAATCCAACAAACTACTGTCATTTCGCCCTACATCATGTCTTGTATACAGTGGACCCCCGGTTAACGATATTTTTTCATTCCAGAAGTATGTTCAGGTGCCAGTACTGACTGAATTTGTTCCCATAAGGAATATTGTGATGTAGATTAGGCTATTTCAGACCCCCAAACATACACGTACAAATGCACTTACATAAATACACTTACATAATTGGTTGCATTGGGAGGTGATCGTTAAGCAGGGGTCCACTGTACTTATTTATCCTCTTTTTCTTAAAATATGTATTACCTATAACTAAACCCCTTTCTATACAAAGTTCAATCAAAGGGCTCCCATTATCATTTACACCTGGCAACCCAAACTTACCTACCACACTCTCTCTAAAAGTTTCTCCTACTTTAGCATTCAGGTCCCCTACCACAATTACTCTCTCATTTGGTTCAAAAGGTTCCTATACATTCACTTAACATCTCCCAAAATCTCTCTCTCTCTCCTCTACATTCCTCTCTTCTCCAGGTGCATACACGCTTATTATGACCCACTTTTTGCATCCAACCTTTACTTTAATCCACATAATCCTTGAATTTACACATTCATATTGTCTTTTCTCCTTCCATAACTGATCCTTCAACATTATTGCTACCCCTTCCTTAGCTCTAACTCTCTCAGATACTCCAGATTTAATCCCATTTATTTCTCCCCCCACTGAAACTCCCCTAACCCCCTTCAGCTTTGTTTTGCTTAGGGCCAGGACATCCAACTTCTTTTCATTCATAACATCAGCAATCATCTGTTTCTTGTCATCCGCACTACATCCACGCACATTCAAGCATTCCAGTTTTATAAAGTTTTTCTTCTTCTCTTTTTTAGTAAATGTTTACAGGAGAAGGGGTTACTAGCCCATTGCTCCCGGCATTTTAGTCGCCTCATACGGCACGCATGGTATATGGAGGAAAGATTCTTTTCCACTTCCCCATGGCCAATATAAGGAATAAAGAAGAACAAGAGCTATTTAGAAAAAGGAGAAAAACCTAGATTTTTTTTTTTTTCAACAAGTCGGCCATCTCCCACCAAGGCAGGGTGACCCAAAAAGAAAGAAAATCCCCAAAAAGAAAATACTTTCATCATCATTCAACACTTTCACCTCACTCACACATAATCACTGTTTTTGCAGAGGTGCTCAGGACACAACTGTTTAGATGCATATACGTATAAAGGTACACAAGATATCCCTCCAAACTGCTAATATCCCGAACCCCTCCTTTAGAGTGCAGGCATTGTACTTCCCATTTCCAGGACTCAAGTCCGGCTATATAAAAATAACCGGTTTCCCTGAATCCCTTCACTAAATATTACCCTGCTCACACTCCAACAGATCGTCAGGTCCCAAATACCATTCGTCTCCATTCACTCCTATTGAACACGCTTATGCACGCCTGCTGGAAGTCCAAGCCCCTCGCCCACAAAACCTCCCTTACCCCTTCCTTCCAACCTTTTCGAGGATGACCCCTACCCTGCCTTCCTTCTACAGACTTAAATGCTCTCCATGTCATTCTACTTTGATCCATTCTCTCTAAATGACCAAACCACCTCAACAACCCGTCTTCAGCCCTCTGACTAATACTTTTATTAACTCCACACCTTCTCCTAATTTCCACACTCCGAATTTTCTGCATAATGTTTACACCACACATTGCCCTTAGACAGGACATCTCCACTGCCTCCAACCGCCTCCTCGCTGCTAGATGTACATATATATATATATATATGCATGTGCGTGTCTGTGAAGTTTGACCAAAGTGTAAGTAAGAGTAGCAAGATATCCCTGTTATTTAGCGTGTTTATGAGACAGAAAAAGGCACCAGCAATCCTACCATCATGTAAAACAGTTACAGGTTTCTGTTTCACAGTCATCTGGCAGGACGGTAGTACTTCCTTGGGTGGTTGCTGTCTACCAACCTACTACAAAATAAACAAAATAATGATGAAAATATTAGTGCGGTTATTGTGTTGAATACAACGAGTGTACATATATATATATAATGCATTATGTTGGTCTCACAGGCCACAAACGTTACTGGAAAAAACAAAATTAGAAAAGAAAAGAAAAATGGAACAAAACATTAAAATAAAAAATGTGACGTTACGGAAGTCGGATGTTGCCACCACCCGGTCATTGAGGGTTAACTTCATGCTTCTATATCTTGGAAAGTATCAATCGGGTTTTTTTTTATTATTGCCTATAGAAAAATATCTTTAATTCTAATTTTTTTTTGTTTTTAAATTCTTGGACCCTGGCTGTCACTCTGAGATTTGGCCTCTGGACCCTGAAAGGGTTAAACTCAGTGAACAAGGTATGTTTTTTACGTTGTTAGCAATGGGCTGTTTAATCTCTTTGCTGTGATCTGCTTCATTTTGATTGAACAATGCATGTTAGAGATTTTGGGTTTTATGTAAAAAAGTTTTGACATCTTTGTCAGTATATTATTGCTGTCAGCTAGCTCTCTGAGAGTCATTGTCGCCTAGTGCTAATATTAAATTATTTACCGATGACTCATCATGCAGGTGAAATGAGATCTTTCTCGAGTCTTGAGGCAGTTTACATAAGTTGGTTATGAGAAAGGTGAGGTAGTGGTCTGTAGTGTTGTCTGTGATTATACCTGCTTCTAGGGGAGATATCGTGTTGGTCCAGATATGGTCAAGTAATGAGGCACTTGTCTCGGAGATTCTTGTTGGCTTAGTTATAGAAGAATTACAATTTGAATTTGAACTGGTGTTATCATCACTGGTGATGTTATTACTGGTGGTGTTATCACTGGTAGTGTTATCACTGCTGATGTTCACATTGTTACCACTGAACTTGTCACCAGTATCACTGCTAGTGTTCACATTGCTACCACTGAACTTGTCACCAATATCACTGCTAGTGTTCACATTGCTGCCACTGAACTTCTCACCAGTATCACTGCTAGTGTTCACATTGCTGCCACTGAACTTGTCACCAATATCACTGCTAGTGTTCACATTGCTGCCACTGAACTTGTCACCAGTATCACTGCTAGTGTTCACATTGCTGCCACTGAACTTCTCACCAGTATCACTGCTAGTGTTCACATTGCTGCCACTGAACTTGTCACCAATATCACTGCTAGTGTTCACATTGTTACCACTGAACTTGTCACCAGTATCACTGCTAGTGTTCACATTGCTGCCACTGAACTTGTCACCAGTATCACTGCTAGTGTTCACATTGTCACTACTGAACTTGTCACCAGTATCACTGCTAGTGTTCACATTGTCACTACTGAACTTGTCACCAGTATCACTGCTAGTGTTCACATTGTTACCACTGAACTTGTCACCAGTATCACTGCTAGTGTTCACATTGTTACCACTGAACTTGTCACCAGTATCACTGCTAGTGTTCACATTGTTACCACTGAACTTGTCACCAGTATCACTGCTAGTGTTCACATTGTTACCACTGAACTTGTCACCAGTATCACTGCTAGTGTTCACATTGCTGCCACTGAACTTGTCACCAGTATCACTGCTAGTGTTCACATTGTTACCACTGAACTTGTCACCAGTATCACTGCTAGTGTTCACATTGTTACCACTGAACTTGTCACCAGTATCACTGCTAGTGTTCACATTGTTACCACTGAACTTGTCACCAGTATCACTGCTAGTGTTCACATTGTTACCACTGAACTTGTCACCAGTATCACTGCTAGTGTTCACATTGTTACCACTGAACTTGTCACCAGTATCACTGCTAGTGTTCACATTGTTACCACTGAACTTGTCACCAGTATCACTGCTAGTGTTCACATTGTTACCACTGAACTTGTCACCAGTATCACTGCTAGTGTTCACATTGCTGCCACTGAACTTGTCACCAGTATCACTGCTAGTGTTCACATTGCTGCCACTGAACTTGTCACCAGTATCACTGCTAGTGTTCACATTGTTACCACTGAACTTGTCACCAGTATCACTGCTAATGTTCACATTGTTACCACTGAACTTGTCACCAGTATCACTGCTAGTGTTCACATTGCTGCCACTGAACTTGTCACCAGTATCACTGCTAGTGTTCACATTGTTACCACTGAACTTGTCACCAGTATCACTGCTAATGTTCACATTGTTACCACTGAACTTGTCACCAGTATCACTGTGTTCAGTAAATGTCTTGTTTATGCTGGTATGTTATTATTTACATTATACAAGTATTTCACTGTAGGTTGAAAGCTGCCGTCTGTACTGCAAGTATTCTGCACGGCCTCCAAGAATTGACACTATACCATATCATGTGTCGAAGGCTATCAAGTGTACAACCTATGGAAGGCCTGGTGCTGCCTACCTTGACTTTCCTGGAAATATCTTATCTGGTACAGTTGATGAATCACAAATTGTCCACCTGCCTAGGTAAGATATTGTATTTATTTTACTTATTTTTTTTTTTGAGTAAATGTTTCTTAATGGCTTCTCCACTTACCAGTCAGAAAAACTGTTGCATATTTCTGGTATTGATCTAATATAAATACAGTGGAACCTCAAAAATCGAACTGCTCCCAACACAACCAATTATGTAAGTGTATTTTTGTAAGTGCTTTTATAAGTGTATTTTTGAGGGTCTGAAATGGACTAACCTAATTTACATTATTCCTCATGGGAATAAATTCATTCGGAAAAGGCACTCAAACAGCCTTCTGGACCAAAGAAAGTTCGATATTTGAGGTTCCACTGTACAACTATTCTTACCAGACTAATATTTTCATATTTTTTTTTTCTAAATCTTATTTTATGCAGCTTGAATTCATATAATCAATTATCTCTAGTTATTCTTAGTGTCACAATTTAACTTTACTTTTCACATCTTTCTCAGTATCTTCTAGGGGGTAATTTATTTGCAAAAAGTTTAGTGTTTTCAACCTGTAATGTTTTCTTTTTGTGTTAAATAGGTAATCAGTTCAGACAACAACAATTAATACAGTGACTCCTCAATTAAAGAGACTGTTAGGGAGGAGAGGTGGGTGGTAATAATAATTGTGGTTTATAGAGAGGAGATTATTTTACAGTGATTGTAAAAATTACAGGTGAGTTTGTAATCAACAGACTTTCTCCATTTTTCCCAAGTCAATATCATGATTTTATACATTGCAAACCATCAAGAATAAGCTAACTCATGATATATTGGTTGAGTTTTTCAGTAAAATCTCTCACTAACGGACTTCTCATTGATGAGTTTTGGCAATTTCTGACTTAAAATTGATCAGACTAATGTTGGAAACATTGGACAAAATGAAAAACAATCCAATCCAACTTCCTTCAACCACACTGTTAATGATGAGCTATTAAAAATATCTATATGGATGACTACCAACAAGCTAATTCTTAATACAGTGGATCCTCAGTTATCGGCCGTTCTGCTTATCTGCCAACTCGGTTATCAGCCAGTTTTTTGGCTTCCGGTTATCGGCCGTTTTTTCGGTTATCGACTGTATTTTTGATGCGTCAACCCACTGCCGCCATCCGCTCCCCGTCAGTCTGGCTGTGTCTCTGGGCAAGTGAGGAAGCTTCTGCTCATTCACCCAAACATTTCATTATAATCCATTGTTTTTTGTAGTTATTGATTGAGTGCAACTGTAAAATAAGCAACTATGGGCCCAAATAAAGTTGCTAGTAAAGTTTCATTCGTAATGAAAGTGAGAAACACGATGGAATTTAAGAAAGAAGTTGTTGAAAAGTATGAGAGTGAAGGAGGAAGAGAGAGGAGAATGTGCCTTCTTCAGTGATTCTATGATATGTACAATACTAAAGCAGTAGGAGTCGATAAAGGCTATAATGCCAGCCGGCGATAAAGTGTAGCATTAATAGTGTAGTATTACAACCCAGGAGTCCAAAGGCCTGTTATCCTGGGTGTAAAGGGAGCAAAATAAACACAGCAGAAAAACTTTTGACTTATATTATCCTTCACCAAGTAAGAACAGAATTATGTACACTATATAGACTATGTACAACAATACGTATTAGCGCACTCCACGATAAGCAAGGCAGAATAGAAGCCACTAGAGAGCAGACCGTGCTTCAACCAGCTCTAGAATGGGACTGACAAGGGCAGACAGGTGTGTGGTACCCACAACACCTCTGCGATTGCCAAAACCATCTTCTCATTGGCTGGAACCTGGGTACTAATCGAACAATGGGGCCCCATCGTCAACCCTTAGCACCTAGTTCACTGGTTGGGGGAGATAGCCTTTCAATGAGGGTGCGTACATGTGCCGAATAAAGGGTATGTACTCTTTGCATGCCACACCCCCACCCCAAGAGGGCTCAGGAATAGGCTCCCACCTCCCAGTGGTAACCGTGCTTCCATGGCACCATATAATGGGGCTGCCTTTCCTCTCAACCATCGAACTCTTAGATAGAGCTCAGCTTTATTCGTGACATAATGCCAAACTCTAAACTCAGAGCAAGACAGCAGACAGTAGGGCTAACATAGGTCCAAGACATGGGCGGACGGTAACCCACGTCCCCTCACTAAAAAAAAAAACCCACACAAGGGGACAAAAAAAAAAAGAGCTTAAACTGGTCACCACAGGTCCCTAACAAATCCTAACCTAAAATATTCTTGATAATGTGTCTGCCAACTTATTTTCTTTGCCAGCAATGTGTAACATTCTGAGAGAATAGGGTTGCAGTCGTAGACTCCATCTCATGAGCCTCGTATTGTAGTTGTTCTTGGCTTGGAGATATACCAGAGGATTGTGGTCACTATAGACAGTGACCACATGCGAAGTCTGGCCCACGTAAACATCAAAGTGCTCCAAAGCCAGTACCAGCGCGAGGGCTTCTTTTTCAATAGTAGAGTAATCCCTCTGGTGTGGCTGGAACTTTGATGAATAGAATGCTACAGGCTGCAACCCCTTATCCCCATCTTGCAACAGTACTGCCGCAAGCCCAGACTCACAAGTATCAACCTGTAATGAGAAAGGTTTGGAGAAGTCTGGAGACAAAAGATTGGGTGCAGTACACAATAATCTTTTTGCTTTTGTAAAAGCATTTTGACATTCTGGGGTCCAATTAAAATGAACTTTGTGACTGGTAAGAGAGGTAAGAGGGCTACAATATCTGAAATTTTTTTACAGAATTTTCTGTAAAACCCTATCATGCCTAGGAAACATTGAAGAGATTTCCTATCATGGGGAATTGGGTAATCTTTAACCCTTTTAGGGTCGACAGGCCCTGTCAGAGACTTGTTCTCAGGGTCTGCCAAATTTAAAAAAAAAAAATAATTTTTTCTTATGAAAAAATAGAGTTTATTTTACTGAACATTATAGGCTAAACAAAAAATTTTTACCATCAATACTTACCGAGATATGGAGGCGTGAAGTTGATGAAAAGGGGCACCATGTGGCAACATCGGTGACTGCCGTCACCCGGTATTCTTTTATTTACTTTCTTATGTACTAATTTCTATTATTTTTTAATTTTTCTTTTTCCAAGTAACTTTTATGGCCTCTGAGACCAGTATGATCAATATTTTGTAAGTTATTTCTTTTTCAATACTACACAATAAGGGCGTAAACGCTGTTGTCATTGTTTTGTTTACAAAAAAATATTTGCACAAACAAACGATGTGAAATGTTGTTTATTACTATTTGTCTATATTTTATATACACATGTACAGTCACAGGGAATGTTTCTAGAAGTTCCGCAGCCTGTGGAAGTCTTTGAAACATGGTGTCATGCACAGTGGTGTTTTACATTCTTCACACATAAAATGAGTGTCTCTGCGTTGTTGTGGGCGTTTTCTTGTATATGCACAGACGTAACACCTCTTTTGAGCCTTCTTCTTGAAAGCAGTAGCAGGCAGTTTTACCAGGAAGTGATCACCATGCTTCAAATGAGAAGGAAGTTGTTGAAAATTTGGTGGGTGGTCTGTTGCAGGTGCTGTTCCTTGGTACTTGAATACTATTTGTCTGATGACAGACAAACAGAATTCGCCGTATTGTGGTTTGTTTCTGGTCTTCATCTTATACATATTATAAGCATTCAGCATGGAAATGTCCAGAAGATGGAAAAAAAGTTTTATGTACCACTTATAACTCTTGCGAACACAATCAGCAAACCCAATCTACATGTCACATTTGTCCACTGAATGCATATTGAGGGTGTAGTCCATCACAGCTGCAGGTTTTAGAATGGGTTCATTGCTTTCTCTATGCTTCTGCCAGTGTCTGCCATTTCATTAGGGTGAACTGATGACAACAGTGTGACATTTCGTTTGTCATGCCACCGAAATGCCATGATGTCATTGGCAGCAAACGCCTGCACCTCACCTCTACAAGTGCCAGCGTCAAACCTGGGCATATGTTTCCGATTTACACGCACTGTGCCACACACATCTGTCATGTTCACTCGCAAAAAATCACTGAGTGAGGGGCTTGTGTACCAGTTATTTGTATATAATATATGCCCCTTACCAAGATATGGTTCCATCATTATTCTAACCACATCACCAGAGATGCCCAATAACTTCCTGGTATTTTGCAATGTATAACTTCCAGTGTACACAATAATATCCAATACCAGACCACTGTAACAATCACAAAGCACAAACAACTTTATACCAAAGCGTTTCCTCTTGCTTGGTATGTACTGCTTGAAAGAGAGTTTTCCTTTGAACAGAATCAAAGACTCATCAATTACAAGCTTCCTGAAGGGATAAAAATACATATTGAATTTCTCTTTCAGATACACAAACACATGCCTAATCTTATATAACCTGTCGTTTCTGTCAGGCCTGGTTTTGTCTGAGATGTGAAGCATACGTAACATTAGCACAAATTGATTCACTGGCATTATATCACTGAAGCCTGGGGTTGCAATCAGGCGGTCTGTTGACCAGTATGATTTCACACTGTGCTTATACACATGTGGCATAAGCATTATTGTGGCAAAGAAAAGATACATCTCAGCCACAGTTGTCTCCTTCCACTGGTGTAGACGTGATTTTGGTGAAGGTATTGTGTTTGCCATGGTGTACTCGTAGTATGTGTTGCTTTCCATGACAATACTTTCGATCAGGGGTTCGTCAAAGAATAACTCGAAGCATTCCAGTTCACTGGCATTGTTCCCAAGTGTACAAGATGGCTGTATTCCACTTTGGCTGTCATCAAACTGGTGGGCATTTGGAACAAAATTGACAGCTTCCTGCTAATCCCAGGTGCAGTCTGCTGGTGGGTACTGGACAATGACAGGTGGTTGTGGTTGCTGGTGAGGTGTGTGGGTGGGGAATGGTGGCCTTTGTTGTAGATCAGCTGAGGCAGCGGCATAGGTGGCAGCTTGGGTGGCAGCATGGCCCACTGCTGGTGCCTCACGGCCGGCACCACCACTACCACCACCATGCACATTTTCCATCC